GTCCATTTTCCCTGGCAGAGCACTCAGGCCACATAGGTACCCCTGACATGAGTGTTGTCGAGCTGGCCACGCTCCCTGGCCATGTCCCCCCCCCAGGTCAAACACAACTCTGATGTGGCCCTCAATGAAATTGAGTTTGACACCCCTCTATTCACATAATGAAAAGGGAAGGTGGGCAATGCCAAGTAAAGCATCAGCCCCCAACATAACTTATTTCTAAGAATGCCTTTGGCCTCCCAAAGGATCCAGGGCATTTTCATAAAATGTGGAGGGACTGCATTCCAGGACTTTGTCTGGAAGAGGTAGGGAGCATTTGGGGCACTTGGGGATGTGGTAAGATGCTACCAGAGCACTTTGCCTTCTGGAAGGTTGCACCAAGTGGCAGCTTATGTGAATAGACAAGTCTCCAACCCCAGGTATGAAGGCTTCCATAACATGTTCTCAATGTCTGTACTTTCTCCTCTATTCAAATTTTTACCATCTGGTGTCTTGATCATCCATATCTTTTTCTACCTGAGGAGAATTACAAATAGCAATAGCACTTGGACTTTTATACTGCTTCACAGTGCTTTACAGCCCACTCTAAGTGGCTTACAGAGTCAGCATATGGTCCCCAACAATCTGGGTCCTCATTTTACCGACCTCAGAAGGATGGAAGGCTGAGTCAACCTTGAGCCAATGAGACTTGAACTGCCAGCAGCTGGCAGTCAGCAGAAGTAGCTTGCAATACTGCATTCTAACCACTGCGCCACCACAGCCACCAAATAAGCCTGATCTATCTGTCAAGGGGATAGTATTAATTATCAAGGGAAATCACTTGAAGCAGAACATTTTAGCAACTTGGGCAATCATACAGAAAAATAATCACAAGAATTGGGTATGGCTGGTCTAGTGTAAAGAAGAACTAGGGGTGCCCTGATAGCAGTGTTCCAATATTTGAGGGGCTGCCACAAAAAAAGGGAGGTTGACCTCTTCTCCAAAGCACCTGAAGGCAGGACAAGAAACAATGGGTAGAAACTAACCAAGGAGAGCAGCAACCTACAGCTAAGGAGACATTTCCTAACAGTGGGAACAATTAACCACTGGGACTGCTTGCCTCCAGAAGTTATGGGTCCGCTTGTCTGAAATGGTGTTGGGTCTTGTGCTTGAGCAAGAAGTTGGTCTAGAAGATCTTCAAGATCCCTTACAAATCTTTTATTCTGTTAATTTTCAAATTTGCATGAAACCCAGAAATTGCAGTCTGAGGCAGCTATCTTATTCTACCTAATAGGAGGCTGAACAGTGGGCTCCAGGTCAGAAACCCCTGAAAATAATCCCAGCAAAAACATTGTAAATTATTCACAAATAATTTCTTACCAAAAAGCTGTTGTCTTTGGGGTTGGTAGTTAAGCTGAGACCCAGCCGCATGTTATCCTTTCGTTCCGACACATTGGAAAGAGTTACTCTTCCTTGGGAAAAAAGTGTCAGAGTCAAGAGAAGCTGTGGGAAAATGTCACAGTCCTTGTAGATAGAGCCTGGTGTCTCCTCATCACCACTATCATCATTATCTTTTCTCCTTGACAACTGTAACATTTTCTCCCCAGTGACCTTACATCTGGTTGACTAGGCACCATCTGTTCCAAAAACTCTTAGGCCTACAGATCCAGTCTCAACTAAAATACTGGGAATCGTATTTCAGTGATACATGGAGGATTCATATTAACCTGTCCTGGGTTAAACCCAGGCTCTTCAGATGGATAAATTTCTCCTTCTGGCTTACAAGTTCTGCTCACCTCTTTAACAAAAAAGTTGGTGAGGTGAACATACTTCACTATGTTCAGCTCACCAACTTTTAATCACGGATAATAGATAACATCTACCTTGAAGTGACTTGAGTTTTGCATGTAAATATAAACCTTTTCAGAGCAATACCCAGAGACAATAAGCTCAGCCCTTCCATTCCATAGCTTTACCTAGATTGAGCTTGGAACATGTGCTGTTGGTCTTGCCGTTCACTGAACACTTATAGACATCTCCTGTTTTCTGGGGACCATTGACCTCATATGGAGCTCCTACCACTAGCCTGGAAAAGAAAACAAGATCTGTAAATTTCTAGCCTTTGAGGAACATTAAATCAGAATAACATCTGAGAAATTCTGTCTCCACCAAATGCTTAGAAATGGTTTGTTTGTTCTGTCCATTCAAGCAGGCTGTTCTTTGCTCCAGTGAGATGTTTCTTGATCAAATCATTATTTGTCTTGTTAGCCTCCAGCAAAGTAAGCAGTATAGAAAAGTGGTGTGCTATGTCTTACCATTTGGGGATGGGAAACAAAAAGGGGTTGTTTCAGCCTGAATGTAGACTTTACATAGTTTAAAAAGGAAAGGAAAAACATCCCTATCCCTTCCCAGAGAACTAGGGAAAGAAACCTACATGACCATAACTTTTTTCTTCTTCTTTGCACCCTCCCTGTGGCCTGGGCTCCAAAGAAAAGGTTAACCTCTCCGTCCAGCTACTGAAAGATTGACTATTCTTGTGCTAGAACAAAATAGAAACAGGCTACTACATCTTGTCCCCTTCTTGACCTGGCATCTGGATGCTGACACCATTGTCCTCGCCAGGATCTTCTGGTCTGATTGAGGCTGCTGGTTGGGAAATAATTGCCAGCAGAGATGCAGAGGAGATGGCTTCTCGGCACTCAAGCATGTTCAATGAATAAGCTGATCTGACTTTAGCAGCTCCCCAAAACAGTCGGGCACCAGAAAGAAATCTAAACATAGTCTAATTCCTTTTGGAGCAAAAATATTTTTCAAATCATCCAAATCAAATGCTGGCAGGAATCAGAACTCTGAGTTCATGCTGGCCCATTTTAACGGAAGAAAAATTGCAGTAGAAAGTAAATGATAGCATTTTGGTGCTATTTTTGAAATTTAAATTTGTCCTCTGCCCCCCTTCTATATGACTATTAGTTTTGCCCTATCCCCAAGTCCTCAGGGGCTGTCAGCAGTAACACCAAGAGCCCAGAATCAGAACCTGAAGTTTTGTGAACGGGGGAAACCATCTAGCTTGATGTACAGAAGACTGCAGCTAATTCCTCTGGAGCAGCAGCTGACCTGATTAACTTCTGAAGTTCATTGGTTGCTTGGCTGCACAACTAAGGTGACCAAACATCCCGATTTCAGTGGGACA